CAATTGAGATATATCTAGCCATACATTAAAATTACACATATTCTACGATTAAAAAACGGAAAGTTGAAATTTACTTTGAATGTTTTGGGACTTACGAAATTTTGCTTGGAGTGCCAACTTGACCAAGCCTCGTCTTCTATCCTGTGACCGGTTTCTTTGGAAGCATACGCAAGTGTCCAAAAACGTAACAACTGGACAACAGGAATATTAATAGGAAACTAAGCTAAACTGGTTCGTTAAAAGGGGCAAACACCTTATCTTCATACCGTTAAGCCCCTTGGTGTAATATTTTCAACAGATTTAAATGTTATGGATCGAAGGAATTTTGAAAATATATTATTTGAGATTCAGTTAATCATCAACAGGTTAATTACACCACTTGGTAGAATTGCTATTATAAAACCATTACTGATTTCAAAATTGAATTATCTCTTTCTTACCCTCGAAAATTGATGTCTGTTAAGAGGGGAGCCAAGTGTAATTACTATGTTTTGACTGCATCTGATGTAAACTTAAAATTCATGAATGAGTGGGAGGATTGTATGCTTGCTGAACTTGAATGGGAAAAAATATTTTTTAAACCTTTAAAGACTTCAAGGGATACTAAACTTCAATAGTTTCAGTTCAGGATTATACATGGCAATCTCTCAACTAATTCATTTCTATTTAAAATCAAATTAGCTGGAAGCAACTTATGTACCTTTTGTCAATGTGAGGTTGAAACAATCTCCCACTTGTTTTGGTATTGTGAACATGTGCAAGCTTTTTGGAAATGTTTTCTAGAATTATTGAATGATAAATGTCAACATGTTCACAACATGAAATTGGACCTGCAAAATATTGTGTTTGGAATGAGAACAAATGCATATACTGATGTGTTTGATTTAATATTGTTGTTAGCTAAATTCTTCATATATAAATGTAATGTATTAAAAACTACTCTTAGTTTTAAACATTTTAGACATTATTTACAAGACAGGTATTTTATTGAAAAGAATATATCCTTCAGTAAAAGTGAACAAGATAAGTTTTATAAAAAGTTGATGTTATATCATGATTTTGCAAATTTTAAATGATTTTCTGAATTCTTTCTTCTTGTTCCCTAATGATTCATATAGGCTGAATGGACTTGAACTTAAACTTACTGTAAATATTTGAAGCTTGTTAGTGTGATTGGTGAGTAAATGTGTTGTGGTGTCTGGTGTTGTTGTTTTGTGCTTTGTTAGAAAAAAATCCTGTTTTTCCTGTGATCAATAAACCTTCTTGCAAAGAAGGTTCCCTGGCTCTTCGGCCTTTTCTGTAACAGGGGAAGCAGGAAATAAAAATTATCAATTATGAAAAAAACCCCAATAACTCTGGAAGATATGACCCAGTTTTATAAGTCAATATCTGGACTATTCTCCCGTCATGCTGGTCATAATTCTGGACGGCCCTCTCCATGCCCTTGTCATGTTTTTCATGACCCTCTCTAAAAAGAATAAATGCAAAAGAACCTGACATACTTTTTATCTAATTTTTCCCTTTTCATGACCCTCTACACGGCTGTGGAATGGCTAGCCATTTCGGTGGAAGTTTAAGCCTAATTACTTCAGGTGCATTACGTCTATCTAGAGAGGTAAAGCGAGTGCTGCAACCGATGCATTTAGACGCGTTGAAATATGTGCTGAGCCTAATTTTGACGACCTGCATTTGCATTCGAATGACGAATTCCATTCATGGCGTCATATTTTCACAAAAGGTCACGTCTTCCACAAATGCCATACATATAGGTGTTTGGATGCATTTGTGAGTGAGTGAGTCAAAATTTGAAGTCGCATTGGCAATATTTCAGCCATATCGTGACTAAAACTAGTTCTAAATTCATTATACATACATATATTATATAAACCCTGTCAACGAAGGACAATAAAATTACTAGAGTATCACAGATTAAGTTAAAACTAGCTAGCATATATCTATAAAAGTAGAAAAGCATGTTTGGACAATACAATGTAAAAATGGGCTATAGATCGCCAACAACTGAAGGTAGATCACCATACTAGGGACCATGGGGACTTACAGTGCCTTTGCTACCTGCATGGACCCAAGTTGGATTTACACCATCCCTTCAGCCACTTGCGATTGTTGGAAAACTTAGCCGAAAATTTATATAACAAAAATGCTACGTTTAAAAAATTTGGAACGTTTAAATGTTACTTTGAAAGTTTTGGGTCTTACGTACCCTCTCAGGAAGACAATAATTTTACGATACTTTAACCCCCTTGAGGATACAGCCACTAACAATTACAGTTACTAATTTATACTACCACGTTTAAAATACCATTGATCTCTTTACAAATCACTTAACAAATCTATTTCTTTTAAAAATGCAATAATTAAATGAGAACTGACCATATTTAAAAGATGCTTCATAGTTTTTACTTTGAACTAGTTATCCCTTATGATGGAATATTCAATGCAGTCAAGCAAGACATGCTTGACTGTGATCCTTTCATCACAAGGGATACAAAACGGAGCATCTTCGCCTTTTAGTAAATATTCGTGAGTATATCTAGTATGGCCAATGCGACATCGTAGGTGTAACCAATATAAGGTTTTATTGCATGTAATTTACTGATACCTACCTGGGTGTCCCACTTCGTCTGCATCAGATCACGGATGTAGGTTCCAATGCTAGCTCTGCAATCAGAGAATGGGATTAGAAGTGGTGTCACAGACTTGTTGAGTGCTGCCTTAGCAGCAAGATCAGCCATTGTGTTCCCAGAAATGCCAACATGGCTGGGTAACCAACAAAAGACGATGTCGCATTGGCCAGTAGCAAGTTCATTGTACAATTCAATACTTTCTAATAAAAGTGGATGTTTACAAGAAAGATTTTTAATAGCCTGAAGACACGAAAGAGAATCGGAAAAGATGATAAATTGTTTATATTTAAGGTGTTTATTAATATATTTAAGAGCTGTTAAGATGGCGTTAGCTTCTGCTGTGAAAATAGAGCTATTATTTGGTAATCGAGAAGATATTGTTCGGGATCCAATGACAGTGGCACATGCAACCGCGCCACCATCTTTGGACCCATCTGTAAATAAGGATTTATATGTATTATATCTAGCTTTAGTTGATTATATTCTTGTTTATATTGTAATTCATTAGTTTCAGATTTCTTAAACTTTGTCAGAGTTAGGTCAACTTCAGGCCTCACTAGTTGCCAAGGCGGAGAAGAAAGAAGATGGGAAGAAGGTATATTTTCCAGCTCAATGCCGTCAGCAGAAATAAAGGGCTTAAGTCTCTGCCCAAGAGGCGGAAGAAGAGAAGGTTTTTTGTTGTATAAATCCTCATAGAGGGGATTAAAGACACAGTTAAATGCAGGGTTAGACTCGCTAGAATATAGTTTAGTAATGTATTGTAAAGATAATTTTATACGGCGTTGTGTAAGAGTAGGCTCATCTGCTTCAACATAGAGACTATCAAGTAGTTTTAGGTTGCTTTTGCAGGCTCCACCATATACGATGGAGCCATAATCAAGTTTCGAGTGTACCAATGATCGATATAGGTGGAGGAGGGTAGCTTGATCCCCTCCCCACTTTGAGTTGGAAACAACTTTCAACAAATCGAGTGCCTTCGGGCATTTAGCTTTAAGGGATTTAATATGCGGCAAAAAAGTTAAATGGGAGTCGAAAATTAGACCCAAGAACTTGGCCTCCTTGACAACTTTGATCGGAGTGCCATTTACAGATAGTTCTGGGTCTTTATGCGGCTTATATTTTCTACAAAAGTGTTAACAATTAGTTTTGGACTTGGAAAATTTAAAGACGTTTTCAAGACACCATTTATTTATTTTATTTAAACACAACTGCAATTGCCGTACAATAGTATGCATATTTTAATATTAAAATCATCCACAAAAAGTGATCCATCAATTGAATCATTTAAAACCTTTGACAAACTGTTAATGTTAATACTAAACAGTGTGACAGACAAACTACTGCCTTGTGGAACACTCTGATCCTAACTGTGATCATCAGACATGGTAGAACCCACTTGGATATACATTGAGGCAAACGGCCTCGTAATCCAAAGTTATGTAATCTTTTAAAATCCCATGTTTCCATGTCGTGTCGTATGCTTTTTCTAGATCGAAAAAGATAGACACTGCATGTTGTTTATTAATTATGGCATTCTTCACAAAAGATTCTAAATGCACTAAATGGTCGATTGTACTTCTGTTTTTACGGAAACCACATTGTATATCTGTTACGAGGTTATTGGTTTCCAAGTACCAAACAAGTCGATTATTTATCATGCGTTCCATGGTCTTGCAAACACAGCTAGTTAGTGAAATTGGTATATAATTCTAGGGATCAGTATGATCACGTCCAGGTTTAGGGATGTTCACAATTATGGCATCGTGCCACGAGGAAGGAAAATTTCCACATGTCCAAATGTTATCAAAAATATGTAAAAGTGTCTCTAAACATGAGTCCGGTAGGTGCTTTAGTAGTTGATAATGTAAACCATCAGCTCCTGAAGCAGTATCGTGAGCCTGGTCAAGAGCAGTGTGAAGTTCATGTATCGAAAAGGTTTCGTTGTAATCTTCCCCATTTTCTGAAGTAAAATTAATAGATTTATTTTCTTGCTGTTGTTGATATTTTTGGAATTCAGGTACATAATTGGATGAGGAAGAATGTTTGGCCATAGTCTCACCAAGTTTGTTAGCAATATCTGATTTATTAGTCAATAATTGATTCCCAACTTTCAGATGGTGAATGCTAAATTTAGAACCCTTACCTTTGATTTTCTGGATCATGTTCCATACCTTTGACATTGGCGTACGTGAGTTTATTTTTGAAACATAATTTTGCCAAGACTGGCGTTTGTTTTGTTTAAAAGTACGCCTTCCTTTAGCATTTAAAATTTTGAACATATTTAAATTATGCACCATAGGATGACGATAGAAGTACTGTTCAGCTTTCTTCCAGGCCTTCCTAGCTTGTTTGCAGTCAGCGATAAACCATGGTTTACGTATGTGTGGATTGGAAGAGGACTTCGTAACACATTCATCAGCTATTTTAAGAAGTTCGTTAGAGAAGTGTGTAACAGGGTCGGGACCCTCAAGAAAAGCACCAGGTGTTAGTTTAGTAGAACAAGGATTTCATACAAATCCCAGTTAGCTTTATCAAAGTTCCATCGTGATGACGGAAGAACATCAGAAGATGTCACAGATTTCAATATGGTGGGAAAATGGTCACTTCCACAGAGGTCATCGTGAACTGACCATTCAAATTCACTCCATAAATTAGAGTCAACAATGGATAAATCCAGACAAGAGTAAGTTCCAGTTCCTGGATGTAGATATGTATGAGAACCATCATTAAATATGCATAAATCGTTGTTTAAGAATAAATCCTCCAGTAATTTTACCTTTGCATTGATGGCATTACTACCCCAAAGTGGGTTATGACTCACTTAAAGCCCCATTATGACACAGGGTTTAGGGAAGCTGGTCATATAGTGCCTGAAGATCGGACTGTTGAAGGCAAGTCGATGGTGGAATGTACAAAGAACATAATGTGAAAACAACATTTAATGTTATTCGAACTGCAACAGCCTGGAGAGGACAATTGAGAGGAACAGGACTATGAAGGATGCCCTGCCTCACCAAAACAGAACAACCTCCAGTGGCTTTATCACCTCGGGAAGAAAAGCGGTGGTATGAGTTGTATCGTCCTAAATCAAATTTATCGGTGATTATAAGGAAAGTTTCTTGTAAACAAAGAGCAGTTGGTTTTAAATCTTGAAATTATATCTGAAGATCAGAAAAATTGTTCCGAAGACCTCGACACAGTTCGATTGTATCAAACTGTCAGGGCAGGTCATGGGGGCACAATAGGAGATCGTGTGTGAGAAGGTCCTTTATGCTGTAATGGCAGCGATTGACTGACCTCCATATCCAGAGGTTCAAAGATATTATGAACCTCCAGAGGAACAGTTAAGGGTAAAGGTACCTCAATATGTTTGGGGCCCTTTGATTCTTTTTTCTTTAGTTTTTGTTTTTCCTTCTTTGTAATCAAAGCGTTTCATTTTATCTCAATAACACATCAGATTGACTTTCGGTTTCAGGCACAGTTCATGATTCTGGTATTGCTTTAGCAGACATGGTGGTTTGTGAAGCTGATGTAGATTTGGAAGGCATGACTTCAGCAACTACTTCATAAAGAACGGTCAGATACCCAGTTAACTGATGTTTGACATCCTTGAGCAACCTTTGGATTTGAGGAGGAAACTGCAGCAGTGTAAGACACTATAGAAGTAGACGAGAAAGTCTCCTTTTCTACTAATTTCTTTGCCTCTGTAAAAGAAATATCTTTAGAATATTTGATTGTGGGAATATTATTTTGTTGCACAGAGCAAGGGCATGATTTTGAGAAGGACATGTGGTCGCCGCTGCAGTTTGCACACTTGATCATATCTGTGCAGTCTGTACTGTCATGTTTTTTACCGCAGCGGGAGCAAATTTGGGAGTTACGGCAAGATTTTGCACCATGTCCAAACTGTTGACATCGGAAACACGGGAGAGGATTTGGTATATATACATCCACTCCGAAGTTGAAATACCCAGCTTTGATTGATGAGGGGATTTTCGATAGAGCAAACGTGAAGAGGTAAGTATTGGTATTGATAATTCTCTCACCATCTTTCCTAGTGAACCTTCTAACATGCGTTACACCTTGACTCTGTAGCTCTTCTGCAATCTCATCCTCAGACATGTCCGAGAGGCACTTTGCACGGTCGCGTACAATACCTCTGCACGAATTTAAAGTTTTGTGCACTGAGACAACGATCTCAGTATTTGCAAAATGATGTGCTTTCAGCAGATTCAGAGACTGTTGCCTCCGCCCACATTCCATGAGCAACAAACCAGAAAGGAGACTGGTAACATTCTGTACGGTATCGGTACCGCATATGCCTTCAATTGACTTGATTTTGAGGGGCTGACCGTAGACACCTGCTACGACTAGAAATCTTGGCCAATAATCAGAATTGTGTACAGATTCCTCATCTGAAGAATTAGTTACATCAGAATCAACATGTCTTCTCTTAGTTTTTGACCGAGAACCAGTTAATTGTGGGATAGCCATAATGAAGGAAAATATATTCAACAGCCCTGCTGCCCACCCACCATGGAGTGTCAACAGGGACGGTGTTGTAGTGGAAGCCAACTACAGACACCAGGGTTACAGGGATGCTATACTCCAGCAAAATGGACACAGGTAGCTATTTTTGCCAAACAAGGTAAAAGTCAGGCTGGTTCTGCCCTAGACAGATCCCTGAAGACAAACAGAACCTGGAGGTCAAAATTGCCAGATTGGCCCATGAGCCACCGCCTTCTGGCATAGGACTCTAGGCAATGTAATATATGAAGCATTTGTTTACTGAAAATCAAAATGTCCAAGACCCAGTAACAAAAATATGCAGAGAATAATCACCATGCACAGGGCTTGGCGTGACCAGCCGATTGATAGAACCGGGCCAGTTCTACCACCCCTCTAGGTGAAGTAAGGGCCAAAGTGGTGTGTTGGGCAATAGGAACACGGTTCCAGGCTCCCAGTACCCTCAACCACCAGACTACGGTCCTCCACCGACACAGGGGCGCAACCCACGGCAAACGGGTTGGTGGACCAAATATACCCTTGGGTCCACAACGGGGAGTTGAAGAGCGCTTAGCGTTACCAAGCACCCACCACGATGAGGTGGCTCTTCACGGGTGCCTGGATGCATTTATAAGTATCTATGCATGTATGTATGTATCTATGCATATCTGCATCTCAGTATGTATGTGTCAATGCATCAATGTATCTATGCATGTATGTATGCATGTATGTATGCACCTATGCATGTATGTACTTATGCATGCATCTTGATGGTATTAATAATTTGCAATTATCATGTATTTTGTTTGTTAGAAACCTTGTTAAGCATGCTTTCAAAAGATTGGTGAACTGGAAATTATTTGTAAGGTTGATTGGGTACCAATGGAACACAACGTTTTTTGTCCATTATGTAACTTACGTTCCACTGTGTATAATTCTTGATATTTTGCGTCAAAACGTTTGGCAAAAACAGAACCAAACTCTGCTGAATCAGACCAAGACAACACGTGAATCTGAAAAATACAAACAAAGAAGTTGATGTAGTAATTAAAGTTACAAAAATCATTTTTCCAAAATGTGTCAAAATATTTAAGATTTCAGGATAAACTAGCAGCATCCTTCGAATACAATTTCATCCAGGTTGTTCAATTATAGGATCTTGTTCCAGAACTTGGAAATGGCAGATCACGATGTAAATACTATCTCATGCAGCTGCCAAGAATTATTGTTTTGCTACACGGTTTTATGTTGTGGATTGCACGCACTGAAAAGTGGGACAAAGAATTGGAATAAATCCTTTCTGTCCATTCCAACTGTCATCCAAAGTCTGGTTGCCTGGCATGAAATATTTATAGTGTCTCCCACAGACAAACCATTTATCGGTGCTGTCAACGTTTGACATGACTCTAAAACCTGAAGACATGTCTATTTCTCTTTTGTACTGGATTTCAAAGCTACATTTAAAATCCGTTCAAAGAGAGATATACTGCTGGGTCCAGCAAATATACCACAAAGTTCCTGTCTCAAAGATTAACCATAATTCTTAAAAACATGAAAGAAGGATTTTTTCGACATTTGCAGGAAATATTTAAGACAAGCAGAATTAGTACTATGTGGGTTCTTAAAAAATTAAAAGATTGGCTTGAATTTTTAGTCTCAGAAAGGAGCCGAGTTCCGTCGTGTGAAAACAGTTCATGTTTCATCGTTGTATACCATTTTTTGACATGACAAACTAAAGACAAACTTCATTCCTCTATCACGGGGGCATTTGTCATTAAACGCGGTAAACGAAGATATACCTATATATCTCCCATCAGAGTTTCCGGACAATTTGACAAAAATGAAGCAAATGTTATTCGAAGTTTATTGCTAGAGCTGTATATGAAATGCTGGACTTCCTCATTGATAACGTCTTTGTAACTTTGTGGTGGAAAACATTTCGGCAAGAGGTAGACATCTCCATGGACACCAGTTGTGCTCCCCTCTTTGTGGACCTGTTTCTTGATGCATATGAATGAGAATTTCAAAATTGGCAAAATCATAACAAAATAATTTGGTCAAGAAGTGTAACTTAAGTTTCAGGTATCTCGAAGATCTAATATCGTTCAACAGCCATAGAAAAGCCAATTCCCTTCCACTGATTTACCCACCTGAACAGGAATTAAAGAGACAAGTGGGATAATTTCAACTTTCCAATAATCAACTTTCTTTTCATGTCGATAAATATCCGAACTGCTCCAGCAGTCGAGCCTGCTCATTATACCAAGAGTGAGTGAGTGACTTTGGTTTAACGCCGCTTTTAGCAATATTCCAGCAATATCACGGCAGTTGTCCATATGTTTATGACGGGTGCTACCGGTGGGGCACGGGAAACGCTCACCGTTCGCGTACACATAGTATAGGGCCCGTCAGTTGGTCACAGCACTTCGCTAGACCTTAGTACCTCCGGTAACAAACAACTTTTCATACCTTTTCGAATGGTCTCATGGCTGTCACTTGACAGCAAGGAACTGATAATCCTTGCAGGAATAACCAGTCCCCAAATTAGCCAACTAATACGACTGTCAACAGCTGTGACAGGCAAGCATGGTAAAATATCCAAACTCAACTCAAAGTCGCTGAGAGGTATAGTGTCGTTGTCATGGTTAGAGTCACAGTAGTGGGGCTGGTACTGAGGTATTTGACTCGGTGGCTCATAACAGTCCGTTAGCTTGACACGGTAGGAGGTGCTACGAAGTTGGGAGTCAACAAACTTCTTGATGTTGCACCAAGCGCCGTCAACAGAAACAACAAGATATATCTTACGACCATACGACTTAGTACCGTCAGAATGCAGGTAAACCAGATCACTGACAGTGATGATAGGTGTAGGCATCGTGTTCATCAGCGGGTTCTTGGATTTTTCACTATGGGAATGGTTCAACTGTCTGTTTTCATGCTGTTTGAATATGAATTCCATATCAGATATGGGAAACTGAGACTGAGTGAACTGATCCCTTGGCGTGAGTATCATCTCCATAGCTGATAAACCTTGAGAGTTCAGGGGAGTAGTAGCACCACCAACAGGGCCTTGAGACAACAGTTCTTTTTCTACCTCATGGACCGCTCTCTCCGCCACAGGGTTTTTGTTACGATTCTTGGTTCTTCCTACCTCCAAAACAAATTGTGTTTTTTTGAGTAGGGGGTCGTTCGTTAGATTCACGAACCCAGGAGCTGGATCCACTCTCACTACACTAGGGGGGCCAGCAAGAGGTTTCAACTGAATGCACAGCTGGATGAGAGCATATCGCAGGGATTTATTAGGCTCGTCCTGAATGAGTCAAGCAGCGGAGTAGGAAGTTACATATTCACGCACAGCAAGAACAGGTTGCTTCTCCCTTTTCATTACATCAGCTGCAAAAAGAAGACCGATAGATTCTGGAGGGTGTCCAGTAGACTGTTACTTCATCTTGTGAGGAATCCTTGCACGAGAAGAGCAACACATGACAGGAGGTGGTGGTGAGCTCGACAGCTTTGTCCAAGTCTAGGGCAAAAGAAGTATCTTTGCATGACAAGTTTAAGCTGAGTGGCATGCCGGATGGTCAAGATGGAGGTGTAGGGCTGTCACAAGGCCACCAAGTACATCACGAGGCACTACGATGCGCTCACGAGTGGGAGCTAAGGGCTCATGCTGGTGCACAATTAATAACCCATCCCGAGCTATAGTTACCACGTTTAAGTAGCACTTAGTGTCCTGACATCAGTCTACTTCCTGGATGGTCGAGTTCCTTGTGCTAGGTGAGAGTATACACGTCGGAGATCGTGATTGTCTGACTGAATGGCATGGCAAGAGTCCCAATTGACGATATCCTGAGCAGATATTTTCAGCATGGGGGCTTCCTCAGACTTTCTAATCAAAGTGCACAATTGGCAAAGTTCATCCTTGCATTCGGCGGCATTTCTACTGGCTAAGTCTGAAGAGATGTTGGCACTACCAGATAGATGGCAGACGGAGGCTTGATAATGGCTGACTGCTGAGTGAAAAGTTGATACATGTGAGCTTGCCGAAAACTCAACACAGCACAATTTCTCACTTATGCTTGGGACTTAGGGTTTGCTGTCGGTGAGTATACGAAAGCTTATTGTGTTTGTACTGGATGAGGGTACGGTGAGAAGTGTTTTAGTTGTTACGCCTATGGCGAGAGCTCTGATCACAATAAGGTAGCTTATTTTATCTGTCGGCCGCGGAGCTTGGCGCACAGAAGAAACCAGCGACTCTTGGCTTATCCTGTCTTGTCACATATAGTGTAAGCACCCGATATCATTGCCACTTCACTGGAACAGCTGGGTGAGGTAGTTATTGCTCTCATTGGATTGAGAGCAGCCTTAGCAGCCGTAAAGGTGTCTAAGAGGATATCCATCCATGCAACCACCTCTTGCGACTGTTTGCCTGCCTGGACATTATCCAAGAGCGAGATGCTTTGATGCACAGTTAGAAAGGACAGAAGTGCCAGGACCTTTGTATGCCCGCATTGGAGGATCTCAACCCTGCTTAGCCCGCTTCAGGTGGGGGCAGGAAACAAGTGCTGAATACATCGACGAAGCAAGCCTTGAGGGTCCGCTTTCCTTCCATCTCCATCTGAAGATACTGACAGAAGATGGTCGCGATGAAGGGTCTTCTTTAGCTCACAAATTGGAGGTTGTTTTGTTAAGTGTGTCACAGAACACTCCATCACCAATTTGACAAGAATTCAGGGGATAGAGTTGGCACCCACAATAAAGATCATCAGCCAGTTTAACCAAAATGCCCTCTTGCTGAAGGTCGCCGAGAACCAGGCACATGAAGCTTCTCGAGGGCTGCGTTTCCACGACAGAGGCATGCCCGCCCAGCACAGCGGGTATAAGCACATCCCTCCTTTGAACAAGGTTACGACACCACAGTACTACATAGAGTTCTTGGCGAGAGGTATTTGATGGAAAGGCAAGCGTAAGGTCAGTTGTAATGATATATTTCCATGATGCGATATTGTCTAAGAATTAAGGTCTCCATCAGGCATGAGAGAGGGCTGGGGTTTGCTATACCCGCCGACGTCCCAGGAATGCTGCAAACGGGCGAAATCCACCTCTTTGTTTTCTTGACCAGGAAGGGAGGGATTTAGCTGACTCAACAGAGACTCTTATATCGCCAGGACGTGCAAACACACCCATGTGTTCGAGATTGAGTCAATTCTCCTAATTTCGGTTCTGCGAACGGCGAATGTGTTTGCGGAGACGTTGCGGTGGTGGTGACGCGGATACGGGCGTTACGCTCTTATCGATTGGTGGGTTGAGCGACTGTCGCATTCGCATTTAACGACGGCGTTTGTATAAACCGGAACGGGCGTCTGGATCGGACGGACGCGGACTCGCGAAGGAATTACCGGGAGGGTTTGACGCTGGGCAGACGACGGGCGGGGACAGGCGAATTGATCTCGAACGTGCGAAATGTGGAGACTTTGGCGGGCGTGGTCATGACGTTTCGCTCGCGACGGTTGGTCGAGTTGAATATTCAGTCCCTGGCGTATACTGGTAATCATCGAACGGACGAACGGTTCGCTGGTAACTTCTGGACGCGAACGGCGTTAACGGAAGGATAACGGTTACGAACAAACGACGGTGGCGATGAACATCGGTCTTTGTCGGCATGGATAATGAGGACGGAACAAACGGACGATTCGGTGAACGCGGCGTATCATCGGATCGCTGAACAATATTATTCGCTCGGTTGGACGGTTTCCGGGCGATTGACTATCAGAAACCTGATAGCGACGCGTATTCAGAATCAGCATCTTCAAAGCGACCGGGCTGGGGTTTCATATTGCCGGTAACGACTTCATTCAATATTCGAATGATGAAGGTTTCAAACGGAACTTATGAATATCTGGGAAGCGATGACGGATATCGTTTGCGGACTGGATATGATAATGCATCATGGTATGAACTGACGATAAATATTCGAACTGGCGGGCGGTATACAAAATTTGGAACAATCACCGACTGAAGAACTTTGATGACAATATGGAAGTAACGGTGGAAGGATATTATGATTATGGTGGCGGCTCGCTTTAAACCTTCCGAAACGGATATAACGTCAGAATACGGTATATCGTTGAACTGGGGTTGGATAGAACTGAACGCAATTCGACGGATAACGAACGGAACGATAAATTCGTGAATTCGACATGAGGATAACGCTAACAATAACGATATATGATGGCTTCAAAGATGACTGATACCGTTACCGGTCCTTCAAAACGGTAAAAGCGGCATGGCTTCGGGTGCGAAGGCTGATGGGCTGGAGGGTTCGAATAATGATAATTCTAACGGATATCCGTAACGGGTTAAATGCGACGCAAATTCATCATCCGGCTTCATGTTGCGCTGCGTTTTCGACATTTCGACTGAGCGAATGAATTGGGCGGTCGGGAAAACAATAAATTATTGCCGACGACTCTGCCGGATGACCGACAAATGGCAAACCGTTTCATTCAAACCCGGTAAAAACTGATATGACGATAAACGATTTCGAAACGGATGGATCAGCGGCTATGGCGGAAACGATCAGCGGAACGTTATAGCGGTTTACGCTTACGCGCTGAAAGATCGCGGATGGAAACAAAAGAAAGCAATGGAAACTGGAGCCACTAATAGGAAAGACAATTTATCTTCCTCTCCAGGCTGTGTAGGTAGTATTAGGCGAAATGGATATTTGAAATTGATCTTGCAGTTGTTCAGAAAACTAATGGAACCTCCATACATATGACATGAACTATGCAGGAATGTGATTGACAGGGTAGTTTTCTACATTGTCAAGGGCCCTCTGCTGCAGTCTGCACGTTTTGTCCCGTTGAAGTGGTCATTACATTGACACAGAAATTCAGACTTTGTGAAAATGTATTATTTCTTACATGATATCAGGTACCTTGTAATTGTAGTCAACAGCCTGATATTGACTGTTTTTGCAAGCGCGTGTACCTTTGAAATACTTCAATACGGGAAGCGTCTGGACGGGTCAACCTTCAATGTGCTTGAGATGTCTACCCTTTCCTCATGTGCTGCTGAGTGCGCCTCATACAGACTGTGCAAGTCTTTCAACTTTCACTTGGACCAAAACACATGTAACCTCAATGAGAAAGAAGACAATGGGAACCTACGGAACAATTCAGCAACCATATACAGTAGAATTGACTCCTGGAATAAGGTAAGACAGCAAAATAGACCACTCTATTTCACATAGGAGTGCGCGGACCTTTTTAGAAAGTCCTGAAAAAGGGAGAGAATTATAATCTTGATTGAAGTTTACACACGCCAGTGGATTGTATCGGTGAATGACAGACGTCAAACGTGGTATTGTTTGATCTCATGAAGTTATGGTCAAGGTCTGTTGTTGTGTTAAACTGTATGTTCGTGGTAGTATTTTACGACCGTGAGGACGTGGGGTTGACAGGGGATTCAGTGAGTATTTTGAAGGATCTACTGCTTTAAACGACATAATATGGCCATCTAAAGTCTTTCATATGAGAGAGGTGTGACTGACTGACTGAGTATGGTTTTACGCCGTTTTAACAATATTCCAGCAATATCACGGCGGGGGACACCAGAAATGGGCTTCACAATTTGTACTCATGTGGGGAATCAAACCAGGGCCTTTGGCGTGACGAGCCAATGCTTTAACCACTAAGCTACCCCACCGCCCCAACGAGGTATGATGCCTTATGGATGACAACTTCTTTTTTCTATTATGATGGAACGTTTTTGTATAGGTTCTTTTACCGCTGTCAAGCAAGAGTGAAGTACTGCAGCACCAACAGACTTATATATTTCTCAAACAGGGATTAAGTGAGACACTATGAAGGTATGCATTAATAGCAGGAGTGATCGGGTTTTTCACCAACATAGGCCTAACCACATTTACAGTTAATTTTGCAGAAAATCCCTTTGGCTTCTGGTTATTGAGTTGTTTTCTTGGCACTGGCTTTCAGTAGGGTTTTCTGGTGTGTGGAGCTTGTAAAGTAGGTTCCAATGCCAGCTTGTCGCTTCAGGAGACAGCTGATGTAGGAGGTCTTTCCTATGAAGGGAGAGAGATGCGAATGGGTGCTGGTTAGAGTTTGTTGGTGGCTGGTTTACTTGCTGGGTAAACCCAGTGAAAACATGGTGAAGGATCTGAATGTCTGTGGTAGGGTTTGTGGTGGACAGATTGATGGATCATCTAGTGAGGGTGAAGATTATGCCAGTATATTCTTAAGAACAACTCATGGCCATCTGGATGCCTTTGCTTGGTTGTTATAAGGCATACCTTCTGCAACAGTGTTTCAACTGTTACATTGCATGTGTGGATTCAGTAGGGGTCCGGAGCGTGCTTCATTTGGACTTGCGCTATATTACAACAGAGCTCTGGAGGCTTCAACAGTGTTGGAGGCTGACAGCAAAATATAGAATGATCTAAAACAGGAATACTTGCACCTTATTCGGAAATCATCTGCTTGAGAGAGGTACACGAGGGGAGCTACCTATTGCCTCTCTTGTCACATTTCACAAGGAGACAAGCAGTTTGTGTGATCACTTTGTTCCCTTGGACACTCTGCATATGCCTTTTATGAACTGGTACAACGTGTTTCTTGAGAGACCTCGGGTCTCGACATTGTCTAAATCGCCTACATTGCCATCGAATGCCTGTACCGTCACCCATTTGTTAGTGCGTGTTTTTTAAGAGACCTCCAGTCACGACTATATGTTCTAGGTTTCCACCACCACTCACTTCTGTTCGCCTGTAAGTGTTGTTTCTTAATTCTAAGGCGTATAACTTGCCTTTGACACCGGGTTCATCGAATCGGTGTCGCTGTGTCGCGTGTCTTGAGGATGGAGATCGTGATGTAGGCCATTTTCAAAGGCGCTGTATTCTAGGACCAGAAGCATTTATGATTTCATTTGCAGTGTCTCGCCTAGATAGCCTATATTCACCGGTTGATGTTTTATATCTAAAACGGATAGTTTGAATTCCGTGATCATGCCCTGCATTTTGTAAGAACGGGAACGATTCCGCTTGACTGTCGTTGCACTTTTCATGTTTCACCGGCACAGCTCTCAGCAGAGTCAAAGGGCGCTTGGCTTGAATATTATCCATCGTGCTTACCCGATCGAGATGAATGCACAGTTCGTGATAGACCACGATGCTCGGTAATTTCGAGGCTGTGATGGTGTCCCGAGGTCGTATTTCATTTGACGTCAATCCGATAGTTCTCGCCAAGGCTCTACCGAGTGTGATGGGTTTTTCCCCAGCTGTTAATGTCAGCGTTCCATTCGACTCGTTGAGTTTGAGGCTGGCTCCAATGGGTTTGAAAATTTCATCATTCAGCATACAAACGCTGTAATAAACATTGGACAAATTGTGCCGCTTTCCATCGATGAATAGTCTGTGGTTCCCTATAATTTGACTGATATTCGACCATCGCGGGTAATACAAGAATCACAGAGGGCGAAATTCAAGTTCCCACGACATGTTATCGATCGCTTCACCCAAGTACACACCGGTCGATTTATTGATGTATTTAAACAGTATAGGCTTTTGGTCACGAATGTCAAGGCAGTACACGCTTGTTTTAACAACCCGATGCAAATCGGGCAGAATCAAGTCGATTTCGCCGTCTGTGTGGAACGATGGGGTGCGGCGTAACCTTAAACGACACTCATCGCGATCCGCTGAGTCGGTCCGTGTTCTGGTTTCACGTGTACTACCAGATCAGGTGCATCCTTAAAGAAATCAGCGCCCTGATTCCGCAGGATAAGGCATGGAATGCAGTAAACAATCCGTACAATCGACGAGCTTACGAACGGACGTTGGAGTTCAACAAGGTCATGAATTCGCTTGACAAATTCGCAACCAGTATTTGGGAAAGCTGTCCATCTTGTACGATCGCATACTGCGTCATCGGAAG